CGGGGGATCGACAATCTCGTTTCAATCTCAACCGGGAAAGCAAGTTTACGCCAAACTATTCTATGGAACCTTTAGAACTCTCTTTTGATTATCTAGCTTAAAACCTAGGTCCCAACCCTCAAGACCTAATTTAGCATATCCTCTACTACCCAACTTTTAGGCTTAATGAGATGAGAGAGAGTGGGAGAAATCCTAAGGTTGGCACGTGGCCCCTTTATGGACTACGAGAGAGAAGAAGCTAGAGAGAGAGTGGGGTGTGCCCTTTAGAGAGGGAAGTGAGAGATAAAAGAGAGAAGGAAGAGATATGTAGAGAATAGAGAACGGTAGATCCTTTATTTCTAAAACAATTTTAGATTTAGGGTTTCTAATAGTTTGCCTCTTAAGTAAGATTGAACATGAACCATCGATCAAAGGTGATTTGTGGGGTGAGAAATCTGAATCATCCATTTCATAGATGGGCCATCAACATTATAGAAGACGCATGAACCCTTATCCCCTTTCTTAAACTATTTTCCCATCAATAGAAATTAAATAAATTAAATTCAATCAAAATATTGTGCATACCATAAAATAGCACAAACCTTCTCATACTTTCCACAAAATCTTTCAAAATATATCAAGTCAATATATTCCAAGCATATGACTACATGTCATATCCCAAAAAATAAGAAAAAAGAATAAAGGGGTGGGGCATGCCACCCTAGAGGGGGCTTCATGAACCCCACCTCCAACAACATGGTAGGCCCATGTGGACAATGGGCACTCATGAAATATTTATATATTAAAAAAATTAAAACTAATTTTAGAATATTATTTGAAAATTTAAAACATTATAAAATCATTACCTTCAATTTTATAAATCCAAAAATTATAAATAAAATATCTAGGAGTTCCTAAAAATTTAAATAATAATTCTAAAACAATTTCTATCATAAAACAAACAAAATTAAATTAATTTGATAGAAAAATGATCCATATGGTTTAAGAATTGAATCAACAATTATAAGGAACTCCAACTTCAACTGCAGACTACAGACCACACTTGCTTTATTAGATCGACTCAGTATTTCCCATAACCCACAGGCCAAGCAGGGGCTCATTAGCGGGTCACCAAAGTCTGGCCGATGAGCCAATGGGTCGCAATCCCATTCTGTCGATTACAGGTCCTCCCCTAGAGACAAGTCAAAGTCACCTAAACCTGATGCAACCACAGCTCCTATGAGGCATAACAGTATTTCTCGCACATGCATATAGTTCATCATGAAAAGTGGCTTGCTTTCCCGAAACGGTCTATCAATATGTATGCCATGTGATGGTACAAGGATGAGGCTTTGGCCCCTGACGCTGCAGGCCACCATCACACACAGTTACACAATCCCTCGACTTACTCATCTAGGCATCCTCCAACCTCATCAAGAGATGATCCATTAGAACCCTTATTGGTTTACACTCTATACCCAAGTAACTTGGGTTTATCCCAACCGACTAGCCTAGACCGTCAAGCACAGATCGATATCTGCAAACACTGTTTACATAGTATGGTCCACGAAGGACTACAGTCCCACTGAGTTTATGTTCCACTCTATCAAATGTTTTTATTACAATCACTCGTAAGGCCTTTAATGGCCACATAAACCCAATATATCACTATATAAATTTTAATATTTTTCTAGAAATTGGATCATAATGAAATTTTAAACGTATGTACTAAAAAATAACACGCACAATTAAAAAATATATAAAAAATATTTTCCAAAATATAAAATGACTAAAATACCCCTGAAAAATGATGAGGGTAGTTTGATCATTTTAAATTATTGAAAATAACTTTTTTATATTTTTATATGGTGCACAATAGTGTTAGGTATATACACCCAAAATTTAATCTTAATCAGCTTTATAAAAAAAAAAAATTAAAATTCATATGGTGATATGCATTCTGAACTATATGATGAATATCTGACAGCTGGAACTCCACCTATATTAGTATTCATTAAAGCTCCCTATAGCTGCCCAACTATTTTTCATATATATATACATATATATATATAAACTTATCTAATCTTTTTCCTAGGTCCATCTATATCCTCAAGCCATAAACCGCAAATTTATTTTATTTTTTATTTTATTTCTTTGAATTTTTTTTTGGACCCAATTTCTATGCTGCCAAGCCCGAATATGGGCCTCATAGTAAATCTATTTTTGAGATGGATTTTAAGACTTAATTTTTAAGGACAAATAATAATTCTAGTAAGTAAACATCTGCGCCGTTAGTTTCCATTGTTTTTAGATGGAACACCTACTTGCATCCATCTTAAAGATGGATGCTTTACACTTTCTAAACTGCATGTGTAGAAATGCAGTCCCAACCCGCATGAAACAATTTTCCTTTTGCTCCGGATCACTGCTTCAGACAGATCCATATCGCTATCCAAGGATCCAACAGTCTTATGGTGAATAATCCAACCCACCGATCCGGGTTTTGAAACACCAAATAAAACTACTAGAAACTACTTCAAATTATCCAAGGAGTCCAGCAAGATGTAAAGAATGCTTTCCTCCACGGCAACCTTAAAGAGGAAGTCCGAGACTAATTGTACTGAAAAGAGAAGTGCAACCACTCCTAACCTTTAAAAGCCACCCTAATAAAGCAAGAAAACCCCAGCCACAAATTTAGAGAAATGGGGATCCATCTATCAGACTTTTAACTTTTTTATCATTCAACATGAGGCTTCATGGTTCTAAATATTCAAATTATGGCTCTATAGAGAGAGAGAGAGAGAGAGAGAGAGAGAGAGAGAGAGAGAGAGAGAGAGAGAGAGAGAGAG